GTACTGGGAGAGAGAGGGGGAAAAAAAAAAACCAACAGAGCAAAAGCGCAGCAAGCGCAAAAGAGCAAAAGCGGCGAAAGAGTCAAAGCGCAAAAGCCCTTCTTCCCGGCTGCCCCTCACTTTTATCCCGGGTATGACGCTGCGTGATATGGAATACTAATTGGCCAGTTTGGCCCTCAATCTTAAGTTCCACCACAAATCACAAGGGGAATTGTGGCCCCCTTGTCCCAACTATGCTCCCCCCTTATCTCACCGTGCTTCTGCACTCCGGCACACTGAAAAGTCCTTGGAGTCTCACGTCCAACCACAGACATCAACTTGCTATCAGCATTCTTCTCAGAGCGAGCCTCTGAGTAAAACCAAAACACGGAGCTCTTCTAACTGCTAAAAAGAAGAGCTAACCCGGTCCCAGCTAAAACTGGGACACCCACGACAAATAGTAACTTACCTTCTCACCTGGAACAAACTTCTCACAGAAGTACAGGAGTAATAGCCATAACTTAGTGTCAAATGCACTGTGCAAATAGCACTGAAATTTCATTCACCTGAAGGAAAGAAATATAAAGTTGCCATGAAGGAGAAGGAACAGGTAGAATTTATATATATTTAAAGGTCTTCTCTGTGCACGTTTAAACTTACTTTTTAAGGGCATTTAATTTTATGTAAAATGAGGAACAATAATTGCTTAGCTTTATTTTTTTCCAGGAGCATGATTACAAATAGTTAAATTTTTGGTGTACCAATATCATATGGATTTATGAGATAGCTATTGATGATTTGACTACATGAAAAACGCTATGAAATTGGCAAGTTGATTACAGGATATACCGTTAATCGGTGAGATATGGTTATGCCTGTTTTCCAAGTTATGCTCTCACAATAAAGTGTTGCATCTTCTGGAACATAATATATACATATACATATGTGTGTGTATATATGTATATATAAAATATATAACTATTATGTTATGCATAATCATCAGGAAAACTTCACAGTCAGCACATAGATATTTCTGAAGTCTCTCTTCAGTCCTTCACATTGGTTTCAAGAAGGATTACTTGCATTAATAGAGAATGCAGGACTGAGTGTTTGCAGTGGTTTTGAATAATGTATTTCTTTAGGATTCCAGCAGTGACATTCAGTTCCTCAAACATTTTCTGCAAAGCAGGCAGCATACTTTGAAGTTCGTGTTAGGAGAAAAAGAAACAAAACCAAAATGTGAATCTCCTAAAGTACCATCCTCCTTTCATGGAATGGTTCAGTGGCTTAATGAAGTTAATTTGTATTAGCATGTTAGAAATCCTTTATCTGTCATATAGAGGCTTTCATTTCACATGAATGTGACAGATACTGTACTTACTCCACTGGAACTTAATTATTTGATAGCGTAAGGAGCTGAAATCCCTACATTTCCTCTCAAGGCATATTCATTGCATGCTCTAGATGGTAAACAGAAACTAGAGGATGGTCAGCCTAGATTTTCAACATTTGAAATTGTGTTGGGTTTGTGTGGCAGGGTTTTGGTGGCAGGGGAGGTGCTACGGGCCTCTGTAAGAAGCTGCTAGAAACTTCCCCGACTCCAAATTGGACCCGCATCCGGCCAGGGCTGAGACAATCAGCATCTCTTTGAATGACATATTTAAGAAGGCACAAAGAAACTTGGGCCATGTGGGACCTGCAGCAGAGAGAGGGAGAAGGCAGACGCAGTTGTTGGTGTGGAGCTGCCCGGCCCCTGCCTGTGCCTGGTGGAGCTTGTCCTGCTGGGGCCACTGGAGTTCATCCAGCCAGTCGGCCCCTGCGTGGCTGCAGTGGAGAGAGGAGTGAGACGTGAGACAAACAACTCTGCAGACACCAAGGTCAGTGGAGAAGGAGGAGGAGGGGGTGTGCCGGAGCTGAGATTCCCCTGTGGCCTGTGGAGATTAACAGTGGAGCAGTCCGTGGCAGTGGAGCATTCTGTGAAGATCTGCAGCTGTGGAAAACCCCACACTGGAGCAGGTGGCTGCACCCAAAAAAGACGGTGAATCTGTGGGAAAGCCCACACTGGAGCAGTCTGTTGATGAAGGATTGCACCCCACGAGAGGGATCCATGCTGCAGCACTTTGTGAAGAACTGCAGCCCATGGGAAGGACTTATGTTGGAGAAGGTCATGGAGAACTGTCTCCTGTGGGAAGGGATCCCACGCTGGAGGAGGGGAAGAGTGTGAAGAATCCTCCTCCTGAGCAGGAAGGAGTGGCAGAAACGTGTGATGAACTGACCACAACCCCTGTTCCCTGTCCCCCTGTGCCGCTGCGGTGAGGAGGTAGAGCCGGGAAGAAGGGAGGAGTTGGGGAAAGGTGTTTGTAAGGTCTGGCTTTGTTTCTCATTATCCTCTCTGATGTGATTGGTAATGAATTAAGTTGATTTTTCCCCAAGTTGAGTCTGTTTTGACCGTGACCGTAATTGGTGAGTGACCCCTCCCTGTCCTTGTCTTGACCTTCAAGCCTTTTGTTGTATTTTCTCCTTCCCATCCCACCCATATTTTTTGTCCTCTCCCATTTTCACATATCTTTTCACCCTTTGAAAAGTTTTCCGGTATTGTACATGAATGTAAGTCACTGTTTCATTTAATTACACTGTCTTTCTGTAAAGTCTTAAAATACCTGATTTTCTCTCCCTAATTACTACAAAACTAGTCTTTCAAAAGTTTTGTTTCAGTATGAACCTTTCCCTCACAGAATTTTTCGACAGCTCTTTTAACTCGCTTCCATTCCAGATGGCTACTGATGCACGTTGTTATTTTTTTTTTTTTTTGGCAGATATGTTATGGCATTTCTGTAGACCTGGTAGAGCAGTGTAAAGCTATTTAATAAGAGCGAAGAGAAAAAATTTCAGGATCAGTGATACACATCAGAATACAAATAAGACCGAAAACTAATACAGTGAAAAATTAAGTGCGATGAAGTTCACATCCTACCACTAAATTTACTTTCTTTTGTAGCTACAGTGTCTGGGGTTTTTGTGTACCTTTCATAAAATACAAATTAGTGAATTTGTGTTAGCAGATGCGAGTGTAAGATGTGTAATTGCCTATCAAAATAAAAATTAATGTGAAATTAGAAAAGCAGCATGTGTTTGTTCTACTGTATATTATACATTCAAAATATATCCTAGAATATTTTTTTTACAATATTCACAAATAAAAAAACTTACAACTGTTTTATTGAGAAAAATGAATGTATTTATTTAAATTATTTTATTGGCATATATACCCGTGAAATTGTTTGGAAAATAATTAAAAGTAGTTTTTACAGCAGACTCTGCTAGTAGCTGTAAAAATATTTGCTCATCATCAAAGGTATGAAAATATCAGAGATCGCAAAATTCAGGCAGGTAGTATGAATAGCTTTCTTCATCCTCTATTGAATTAAAAATGAGAAATAGTTAAAAAACAGAGAAAAGCATTTTTATGCAAACAAAGATCTTTTTTTTCCTCCTAGATTTCTGATTTATATGTAACATTTCAGCGTATCACAACAGGATGGATCATGGGTTAATTGTTCGCATCGTGTTACATAATTTCAGCTGTAGATGTGGTGGAGTCTAATTTAACCTGACATAGTACGATGCAGCGAGTGGCGGCAAAGATCACAGGCTGTTCAGTGGACTTTGTTCTACTGAAAAATGCATAATTGCCTGAATGAAATGTTTAGTAGTTTATGTTTGGTTGATGAAGATGCAGAGTCTAATTGCTGCCCGTGGCTTTTGCTTCTAGGCACATTCTTGGGGTCCATAGCCTACATCAAGTTTGTTTTCCTTCCTCAGGCCTTTTGGGAGCTGACACGGTGCGATAACAACCTCGTGGATCCAGAGATCAATGTTGGGCTCCTGAAAGCCTGTTAGTTGGGCCTTCTCCTCGTGGAAGCTCTCGTTTATTGTTTGCCATTAGGGATATAAAAGGTAGCTGGAGCATTCAGTACATAGGCTTTGCATAAAGTGTGCAAAAAGTTAAACGGCAGCAGAAATAGAGGAATTAGAGGTACTGTTAAAACATATATTGCTTTGCATAATTAATATTCCTCCCTATACAAGGTTTTAGGTCAATACCAGCTAAAGTTCAGATTTCCTTCTCTCTTCCTTCTGATGGAAATGAGCTATCCCCAGAAATATCTGATCTTGTATTGGTAACCACTGAAAGTTTAGTTAAAACTGCTTTTTCTGAACTCCAGATCCTTTGGTAACTGACTGCTGAACCAGAATGGGTAGTCTGGTAACTACTGTCTTAGCAAATTGGTCCTCTCACAGGACTCCAGTAGCATCATTCTGGCGATCAGTTAGAACAGCATGGGTGGAGGTGTTGGGTAGTGGATATGCGATAATGAAGATTGTCCTGTTGCCTCTCATATTTGAAAAAATTGATTCCCCATGTTCCTAGACTTACTTTACAGTGTCAGGCAGAAAGATTTAAAATGTGATTCCTCGGTAGATTTTATTTCTGGGTTTTGTTTGAAGGCTGTCCCTGTATTCTGCCAATTCTTCTCTGTCTGTAGGAAGGTTTTGGGATATCATATCAAAAACTGCATCTGCCCTGGACATAAAGTCTGGAGACATAGATTCTTATCACACGTGCATGTATGAGTATTTTAACATTGCTACACTTCCATTTCAAAGTTTCTCTCTCATGGAAAAGAAAAAACATACTCGGTAGACGTACACAACAGTTTATGGGAGTCCAGACATTAATATAGTTTCTAGGTTAGTTTAATGTTTCTGCTTCCTGCTTCACTGGAAGAGTCCCATATGCAGCCTTCTCCAATTGTTCTTCTTTAGCCAGTGTTTTCTGCCTGAGAGAGTTATACTACATTTGGAAAATAAATCAACTTTACATTCTAGTTCTAGTAGCATTGTAATTCTAGTTTCATGCATGGCAGATTGCCTCAGAGAGCCAAGTTTAATGCATTTCTAATTAAAAAAAAAACCCAAACAGTATGATGCTACCTCGCAATGTTATCAAATCGCTCGTCTTTTTATTTTCACAGCTCACCATGTTAAAACTGGGACCTGTGAAGTGGTGGCACTCCACAGATGTTGCAATAAGAACAAGATAGAAGAAAGATCACAGACAGTGAAGTGCTCCTGCTTCCCCGGGCAGGTAGCAGGTACCACCCGGGCAGCTCCTTCTTGTGTTGATGGTGCGGCTACTTCTATTGCTTCCTTTCATTGCATGTTCCTAGGGGGTTTTACTGGCTTCATGTCATCAATGAAAACTACTCCATTACAGTTAACTATTTAAAATAAGAGTAGGAAAGCTTCTGCATTTTGAAGGGCATGCCCAAGGTGACTGGGAGTAGGATGGGAAAAATGAATTATTTGCTATTACTCTGTGGAAATGGTAAGCAAAATTATTAGATGCCAGTGAAAGAGACCTCTTGAGAAGCTAAATCTGATCTAACTAACAGAGTGCCCTTGGGGTTGTATGAAATCCACTTAAAAGTGTTTATGCAAAATCTACATGAGCATATAATTTTCGTATGCTGCAGTCTTACATTTTATTTATAGATTTATTTTTATCATACAGGAACAAACAAGCAAACAAACAAAACATAATTCTGACTGTTTTTTAGTCTTTTTAGATCAACACTATTTTTCCTATTTGCAGTGCAATATTAATGCTTTACTTAACAAATCTGGCATAAGCCTATATGTTTTATTTGGGAAAATACTAGCTGATTTTTCACATCTCCTTCTCTGAAGGAGAAGTGGGATGAATTCACCCTTTACATGATCTCTTTACTGTTGATATGTTGTTGGCTGTTAGAGAAGCTGTAAATATGTCATCATTGGGCGATAAATTTAATCAGGCTATGCTAGACTATATAGTAGATCAGGCAAAATATACTAACTCAAAAGAAGAGATTCTATTTAAAACTTTGAAATCTGACTCAGCAAGAAAAAATGAGGGTTGGAAAAAAATGCTGTGAAATTAGTTCTTGAACTGCAGTAAATTAGAAAAAAAAACCACACTGAAGAGGTTGACTTTGAAGCACATAGCACCTTGTGCAGATTGAGACCTATTTTGTTATGAAGGTTCTGAGCTGGCTGAAAGTCACAGACTAGCTCTCAGTTGATGTATTTTTTGCATTTTCCTGGAAAAGAGAATAAAGTTTGCAACATAGTGACATATTACAGTGTCAATTTCAACAACATGCAAACGGTTTGTTTTCCTTTCTTGTAGCTTCAATAGTGGAGCAGAAATGGTGGTGCCACATGCAACCATGTCTTGAAGGGGAGGAATGTAAAGTTCTTCCAGATCGTAAGGGATGGAGCTGTTCCTCTGGGAATAAAGTGAAAACAACCAGGGTAGGTATGATACCAACCTGACATGTTATCAACAAGTAAAAAAAAAATTGCACAGGAAATTTAGTGCAAATAGAAGACATGAGATGAGAAGACTAAAGAAGTATGGGAAGAGAATCATACTGGGATTGGACTTCCTGGTCCTGCGCACTTTTCTCAGCATACTTTGCAATTGCTTGAACATGGTAAGCAGTGTGCCAGACCTTCTCAGGTAAGCAGTGGAGATAGTAGATGTGACCCCTTTTTCAACTACCAGTAATGATTGAATGTGTTATAATCTGATATGTATTTCTCCCTGAAACCAGTTGCACAAAGCCTATACACATTGCTAAACTTTTTGTTCACAGGATAGCAAACAAACGCATTTTTAACAATAACATGGAATTACCATGTTTCTACACAGAAACTGCTGAGTATGGTAAGCATTTGATGTATCATTCCAGTATGATCTTCTGGTTCTTTCCATCTTATATGACTGGGATTTACAAAAAAGTTTTGACAGTTTCAGTGAGTTTCTTTTCTCCATTTGACACTTTTTCTATTATTGGTTCCAAATTACATTAACAGAAGTACCTCTAACATTCATCATATACAATGCCTGAGAACAGAGTAAGCATGCTGTCATCTCTGCTTTTTAGTGGCTAAGAGAAACAGAAGAATAACAAATTCTTCAGATAATTATTAAGCACTCAAACTTCCTAAAACCACAGTGTTGTATCTCTATAGGGTCAACACAGTTCTTCATCAACATAAAACAGATTAAAGTACACTCTGAAGACACACATGCATGTGTGCAAGCATAAACACCTTCACCCCTACACCCCACCACACGTGCTGGTGACTGGTTTTGCTTGTAAGTATTTAGTAATTGTTTGTAGTATCAGGCCATGACTTGCTAGTGTGGTGTTTACTCTGTGCAGGTGTTTGAATGTCCATGTAATTTGATTAAAATCTTCCTTGCATAAGCACTAAATTTCTGGTACACCTTCATTGTAGTAAAATGTAGTGTGCACCGACTGAATTATATTCCTTCTGTTCCACAGAGATCTCTACATGTCTTCATTTCTGTATATATAAGACTTTAAAACATTTTGATATTCTTTGAAGGAAGGATACTTCCTAAATGTTTGATATACAATTCCACTCCTGAATCCTCTTTCAATTGTATTTCTACTGAAGCTAACCTTGCTTGAATGCTGCCCACGCTTGACTTTGTACATGCCAATGCAAATCTGATTATATACATGGAAAACGTGTGTGCATGTATAATATAACCAAAAGGTACTAGATAAAACTTAATTATAGTAATAGAAATAGAAAAAGAATTATGTGTGTGTGTTTTAGAATTTGTCCTGGTTACTGCTACGTGGCACTATTAGTGTTAAAGAATGCATGTAATTTTATAGTTATTGTGGGTGTTTGACAAGCAGTAAGGGAAAAATGTGGATCTGGATTACATTTCTGTAGGAAAAAAAGAGGTCACAAAAGGGGGAGATATCTATTAGAATCACCTTGGGGAGATTTCTTCCTAACATTTTTTCAGAAGATGGGTTTTTCTGCATTGGTCAAGGTTATGAAGTTCTGTCCACTGCTAGGAATCTAAAGAAGTCCAAGGCTCTTGTCCTCAAGGGTTTATGCCTCTGTTGCAGACTCATAGGTCTGGCTTTTGCAGGAATTGGATTTCTCTTGTCCTCTATGGATGGTAGCAATCCTCAGGACTTATTTTGTAGCTCTTCAGAAGTGATGCTATGTAAAAGCCAGCCCTTTTCTCTATTTGCCATCATACTTGCTGATTCAGTACAATGGCTGCCATAATCTGCTTGCAGATCTACCACCGCTGAAAGGAAAATACTAAAACCCTTAAATCACCCACTATTTGTTCTACCTTCTAGTTTGTCCAGATACCTTATGTTGCCCCCTTCTTCCTTCATTTCCCACACAGCTACAAAGCTGTTTTGAGACAATAGCAAATCTGAATTTAAATTTCTGACTGAAAATTGATCTAACTCATTGAAACCAGGTGGCAGGTGAATGAAGGTCTTTTGACGTGCAGGGGGATGAGGTTTTAAGAGACATCATTCTGATGCCTAGAAAAATACACATTGCTATTAGAAATGTGAGTGATTCTTTGTGTTAAGAGAGTACTTTTCCCTAATATGTAGTGACTCCAATATTTTTGTAGCTCCTCTTTCTACTCCCCAAAGTCTATATAAATAAAAGGAAAAATTCTGGAGTGCTCTGTGGTTTCAAAACCCCCTTTTTTTTGAGAAAAAGAAAAAGAACTGTACAGAGAGTCAGTGTGAAGAAGTCATAAATAGCAAGTTTCTGATTGTCAAATGAAATAACCCGTATGTGATTATCATGTATAATGTAAAAGCATAAAGAAACAAAGGGAATAGAACAGCTTGGGTGATTTAAGTGTATTGCAGGAAAGCCTTGTGGAGGCTTTCCTGAAAGGTGTAAGAAAGTCTATATTCACCTCTAAACATTTTCTGTAGATTTCCCTCCTTCATGTGCAGAAAAAGTAGCCCAATTAACTGCTGAAGTACCATCTTCTCTTCTACAGGATACCAAGTTCAAAAGCAGCGCCTATGTTTCCACATCTCGAGCTATTAATAGTTAAGCATTATATTAGAGATAAAACCAGTGGAGGAAGGAGATATTTTGCTTGCCCACCTCTGTTAGCATATTTAATCACACTATTGTAAAAAATGATGATACCAACTTCTTAATACTTACAGTATCAATCACTAAGCAAAAAGGCCAAGTGAATAATGGGAGAGAATGAATTGATTTTTAAAACTGTGGTCTGCCTGAGGTTTTGCATTTTGTTCAGATATGGAGGTCTAATACAGTAATACATGAATAATGAATTAGAAATAACATGAATATTATGGTACTCAGAATTCAAATGTTAAGAAGAGTCAGGTGGAAATTATTTACCTTCAGAATGTAAAAACAGGTATTATGGAAAGATTAAACTGTTTTTCCTAATTTGCCTGCGTATTAGTGGGAGAGGCCTGACATTAGGAGTTAACCATGGAAAAGGGGGGAGGCAAGTGTGTATGAATAAGCTGAGTACTGAGTTAGCTTGTGCTGGTTTAGAATTTACTATTTTGGGTCTATGTAGCTTGCAGGAGCGGAAAGGGAGAAAAGGCAATGACAATTTAGTTAAAACAGTGTTCCTGAGCATTATATCACAATAAAAGAGGATGTTCAAGAACACATTAGGAGAATTATGAAATGATTATGGGCAGAGCTGAGATTTACCAGGCACGTTGTGGCATTCTCCTCCAGACTGAGAAACTGTTGTGAGAGGAAGCAATTGAGTTTTTTTCTATATGGCTAGCCTCAATCTTTTGATAAATAAACACAAAAATTTTGTCACATTGCCCTCTTTAAATGATGACAAAAGTGTTTAAAAAAGGGGAAAATCCAAAGTGGTTTTTTTTACCTTTGAACAATTTTTTCTTCTTACAGACTTTTTCTAATATAATTATTTTCATTCAAAAAACTGTCCTGGTCGTGTTTTCTTTCTTTTTTTGCAAAATAAGGAAAATGTCTTTAAAATAGTGACATATTCCCATCAGTTGAAAACTACAAAATACAGCAGTATTATGTATAAAATTGACAATGACATTAAAAAATTGCTAAGAGTTTGTATTAAAAAAGGAACCCTTTATGAAGGGTTTATGAAGACTGGAAAACAGTATTTTGCAGTCAGGTAAGAGCTGAGGAGAAAAAACTTTGTATTTCTCTCAGTTTATTCCCCACCAGAGGTCTCTGGATAGGGTTTTTTCTAGGGCAGATCCAGATGTCAGCCTTTACTTGTATTTTTAAGAACAGTACATTGCCCGCTATCTTTACAATAGAGGCTGAATTTAAATAAAAACATCAGAAGCTGCATGTAACCTGTATGAAAGTCCCTGCTGCAATGCCTCCCCAGGCATCCACCCTGGGACTAGCCTGGAGCATGTCATGGCTACTGGACAGCCTATAAACCCATGTGTCTTTCCTGCAGAAACTAGAGCACAGGGAGACAGGTAAAATGTTGCATCCTAGGTCTCATCTTGAGACATCTTGTGACATGACTGAAGAAGTGTGCACTTGCACCTGGGAGTGAGGAAGTGTCCCTGGGCTGATACTTTATGAAGCAGTAGAGAAATAGGTATTGATATTTTTCATGTGAAATATAATAGAATAGACTTATTTCAGTTGGAAGGGACTTAAAATGACCACCTAGTCCAACTGCATGACCAATTTAGGGCTGACCAAGATAAAGCATGTTAATAAGGACATTGTCCAAATGCCACTTAAACACTGACAAGCTTGGGACATTGACCAGCTCTCTAGGAAGCCTGTTCCAGTGTTTAACCACCCTCTTGGTAAAGAAATGCTTCCTAATGTCCAGTATAAATCTCTGCTGGTGCAGCTTTGAACTGTTGCATAGTAATGAAATAGTACCTTGTCGTTAAGCTTTTAGTTTGATTTGGTAAAATTGCTTGTGGAATGAGGCATATTTTAATGCCAAGTACTAAGTTCTGGGTAAAATATGTGGAGTGGAGTATACTGGACTTTGCTTGGGTTAGGAGTCTCTAGAGTGAGATGACTAGCCTAAGATTTACACTGTCTCTTTAGTATTGGAGAGAATTGTTCAATTCCAGAGGACTATTCATTTTGTCCTAAGATAAGGCAGTTGAATTATCTTCTGGAGGTGCTTATTTCTCCCTAATAACTCTAAAGGAAATCTGTGATGACTAGCTTACTGCCTAATATTTAGATACTTAATGTTGAATAGGAAAATGCTGGGTCAGAGACAGTAGGAAGATGATCAAAAAAGCCCCTTCATTCTTTGTCAGTTTGGGAAGCTTGGGATTTTGACCATTATCAAATGCAATATAATATAAGAGAAGTTTCAAAAATGTTGATATTTGGAAAATATGCAGCTATGAGCTAAATCAGTGAATCATACTATGACGAACAACATGTCCAGCACCTATTAT